CGATGGCAGAAGACGCGAAGAAGAAGCGAAGAAGAAAAAAAGAAAATAAGATGTGAAGAAGAAAATAAGAAATAAAGAAGAAAAGAAAACAAAATTGATCGATTAGCAGTCGACGATGGCAGAAGATGCGAAGAAGAAGCGAAGAAGATTAAGATGAATCAACCACCTGTTACGTGAACTAAGAAGCGAAGAAGAAAAGAAGAAAAGATGAGTTAAACCACCCATTCGAGTCGACGATGGTAGTCTCAGAAAATGATGTCGTGGCAAAAGACTAATGGCAGCAGGTTCAGAGTCGGAGTCGAGGAGGGGAGGAGTCGGAGTCGAGAAAATTACGGAAGAATGAGATGCAAAAAACATATATGGAAGAGTAAAAGTTTGAGCATCCCACATCGAAGCTGTAAACATTATATCAACGAAAACATAATCTATAAAAGGGAATCCTCCATAGAAAAACAAATGCAATTATGTTTTAGGCAAGTTGGTTCCATTGAGTTGGTGGGTGCTTTAGAGTCAGTTGGACCGATTAGGTCGGAGTTGGACCGATTTGTTCCGAATTGGGCCGGCTTTGACCGATATTGACCAAGGCTGCCTAGCCTAACCCTCTAACACCTATTCGTAGGCGGTTGGAGGCCGCCAAGCGCCTAGCAGCCAATTAATCGGCAACCTAGACCGATATTTACAACCATGATATATATATATATATATATATATATATATATATATGAAACGACAAACTAATCTATCCCTAAATACCATCAATTTCTCCTGCTAGACTTAAACTCATGACATCTCATTTGTGAGAATAACTCTGCAAATGAATATATATGGTTACATCTTTTTGTATTTGAAATAACAATTAGTAGTACCAGTATAGATTGAACTTAACAAAATTAGTAGTATGCTAGTATATCAACAGAATTGAGTATGTCACTATATTCAAGTTCAAAATAGCGTAATAACAATCACAGGCAAATTGAATTCAAATTTATCGAATACAAATGGCTATTGATTTATAATCAAGGCAAATATGAATTCAAATTTACCAAATACAAATATTGAATTGCGAGGCACCATTTACATTTCAGTTTATATATAGTAAGAATGAATGTTAACCAACACTTGTTGAGGATCCTCTTTCAACACTTGTTGCATAAGTATCTCCGATTAGCCTATTCAACATCACTCTGAAAGAGGATCCTCAATGGAAGACTTCATAATGGAAGGGGAAGAAGCAGCATTCTGATCAACTTCAATGAACTTTGGACTCCTAGAAAAATATCGTTGAGGGGAATAAATTTTCAATGGAGGGTGATGGAGTTTTTTTATCAAGAAAAATGATTGTGGTGTAACTATATGAGAGAGAGAGAGAGAGAGATGGAAAAGAGATATAATTTACTGAATTTAATCAATTTATTGAATGAGTTGGCATCTTGTACCGGTAGTTAAAGTTGAACTTAAAGTTGAACGTGACTAAAAGAGAAGGTCACCGTTCGCCCTATGCCCTCATAAAACAACATAAATATTGTAGGGACTAAATGGACCAATCCTAAAAACTCCGTAGGGCATTTATGTCATTTCCCTAATATAATATATGATAAATCTTTAAATAGATTTTTAATTCGGAAAACAAAAAATTTCACATCTTATTTTTTATAAAAATTTAAAACTATTTAAAAAATATGTTTGTACTTTGTATACTTAACAATATATTTTTAAGAATTTTCTTTTACAAACTCACTAAAATAGTCTTCCCATGAACTCTATCATTTATTTTTTTTTAATTTAGATAAAAAAAATTGTTATATTTTTAAAACAATATTTGTTAAAATTAAACTATAAACACCTAAAAACTTTTTTTTTTTTTTTAAATTCTTTTTAGAAAGTCGTATAATGCGTAGAGATATTTCTTAAATTTTCATGATTTTTAGAGAAATTTTCTTTGGTTTTTCTTATATATATATATATATATATATATATATATATATATATATATATATATATATATATATATATATATATATATATATATATATATATATATATATATATATAGGGATGAGTTATTTGGAAAACAAAAAAAAATCATAAAAATCATAAAAATGCATAAAAAAATACTTATAGATTACAAAACTTTTTTTATAAAAAAATCACAGCTTTTTTAATAAATTCGCTAAAAAAATCAAACTTTAAAAAAATTAATTTTTTTTTTCAAAAAAAATAAATAATGAGGGAATTTATTTAAAACCCTGTGATATTTTAATAAAAAAATTAAAAAAAATGTTTTGTGATCTCTAAGTATTTTTTTATGCATTTTTATGATTTTTAGGGTTTTTTGTTTTCCATAAAACCTATATATATATATATATATATATATATATATATATATATATATATATATATATATATATATATATATATATATATATATATATATATATATTTTGCTTTTTCAAATTTTTATTATTTTGCTTATTTTGTAGAGATTTAAATTTTAAGAACTTTCATTTTTTCATAATTTTTTTTCAAACAAATATAAAAAAAAGTTATGACATAAAAACTAAACGGGTGAAAAATAATAATCTCTTAGCCAATAAAGGCGGGACAAGTATCAACAAGGAGGATGGGCGTGCGCGTGGAGCGTGCCTAGGTCTACAGATGTGTGAGTTAGAACAAGTTTTTCAAATTTACGTTTTGGTCCTCTATGTTTTGCCCTTTAGCCGAACGTTTGAAAAAACATAATATAATTACAAAAATGCCACCGAGATTTTTAGGATTTTTACCATTTTTAAGATTAAATCACACATTCACACCCACTAGATTGGTGAAATAAACGGTCAAGATTTGTCCTCGGTCCTCATCAAATTTTGAATCTTCACCCGATCCTAACTCTCTCTCTCTCTCTCTCTCTCTCTCTATCTATATATATATATATATATATATATATATATATATATATATATATATGTTGACATCAACATCAACATCAACATCTCCTTGAACAACCCACTATATGTGTACAAGTAGAAGAAAACAATATAAATCATTACCATAAAACATGAACTCAAACGCCTAGATAAACTAGCTGGCATCCACATACTAATCAATTTAGCTTTGGTGCTTGACAAAGAACCTATTAACTAAAATTTGGTACTCCACAATTTAAACAGATGCTGATTAGATTCATAATCAGATTGATACTCCCCAAAGTATATTTAGGTTTTAGCTTTGTATTGACAATTTGATAGTCCACATATGTTGAACAGATGCTTCGAGAAGAAAGCCATTGCATCATATGTTCCAATATACATAAACCCTTTTTAATGAAATGACCATAAATTTACAAAGTGGAGATAAGAATAATAGATTGTAAAACCTAGCAACCTAATTGATTTTACATCAAGTGTAGAACCAAGAAACCTAATTGATCTTATACCAAGAAACAGATGCTTTGAGAAAGAACCATTGCATCATATGTTGAGAAGAAAACCATTTCAGCAAAAACAATTTTTTGAAATCGATTTTTAGATCAAACAAATCGATTCAAGAATAATCATCATCTTCATATGTTCTTCATTAAAACTTCAATCATATTGTTGGTTTCCAATAACCTAATCAATTTTCTAAAATAGATTAACCAATTCAAACTTCAATCATGTCCCATCGTTTACAACAAAAACTCATATTAAGATGAATCAATCCAAATTTGAGAACAAAATCGGACGATTAGCAGTCGACGATGGCAAAAGATGCGAAGAAGAATCGAAGAAGAAAAAAAAAAGAAAATAAGACGTGAAGAAGAAAAGAAGAAATAAAGAAGAAAAGAAAACAAAATTGATCGATTAGCAGTCGACGATAGCAGATGCGAAGAAGAAGCAAAGAAGATTAAGATGAATCAACCACATGTTACGTGAACTAAGAAGCGAAGAAGAAAAGAAGAAAAGATGAGTTAAACCACCCATCGGAGTCGACGATGGCAGTCTCAGAAGATGATGTCGTGGCAAAAGACTAATGGCAGCAGGTTCAGAGTCAGAGTCGAGCAGGGGAGGAGTCGGAGTCGAGCAAATTACAGAAGAATGAGATGCAAAAAACATATATGGAAGAGTAAATGTTTGAGCATCCCACATCGAAGCTGTAAACATTCTATCAAAGAAAACATACTCTATAAAAGGGAATCCAACATAGAAAAACAAATGCAGTTATGTTTTAGGAAAGTTGGTTCCTTTGAGTTGGTGGGTCCTTTAGAGTCAGTTGGACCGATTAGGTTGGAGTTGGACCGATTTGTTTAGAATTGGGCCGGCTTTGACCGATATTGACCAAGGCTTCCTAGCCTAACCCTCTAACACCTATTCGTAGGCGGTGGAGGCCGCCAAGCGCCTAGCTGCCAATTAAACGGCAACCTAGACTGATATTTACAACCATGATATATATATATATATATATATATATATATATATATATATATATATATATATATATATATATATATATATATATATATATATATATATATATATAAACTGGCAAACTAATCTATCCCTAATTACCATCAATTTCTCCTGCTAGACTTAAACTCATGACATCTCATTTGTGAGAATAACTCTGAAAATGAATATATATATATATATATATATATATATATATATATATATATATATATATATATATATATATATATATATATATATATATAGTTACATCTTTTTGTATTTGAAATAACAATTAGTAGTACCAATATAGATTGAACTTAACAAAATTAGTAGTATACTAGTATATCAACAGAATTGAGTCTGTCACTATATTCAAGTTCAAAATAGCGTAATGACAATCACAGGTAAATATGAATTCAAGTTTATCGAATACAAATGGCTATTGATTTATAATCAAACGCAAATATGAATTCAAATTTACCAAATACAAATATTGAATTGCGCTGCACCATTTACATTTCAGTTTATATATAGTAAGAATGAATGTTAACCAAGCTTCAAGTTGTATCACAGATCATTGGATTGCATGTCATGGGGATGAAAGACGTGGTTTTGTCCATAGAACACCAAAAGGAAATCCGTCGGTATCTTTATAATCATCAGGTAAACAAAAAACTTTGTATTTCTTCTGTCTAAAAGAAAGCAAAATCTTTTATATGGGGTGTTCCAAAAAAAATAACATCTTTTTTAACCCAATAATCCTGCTTCTAAATCTACACAGTTTTCTACCACAGACTCGAACCATCGACGATTTGAGGACTTTCCATTACATCTTATTTAATAGCAAGTACTCATTCCCAGTTTACTATTACCTGCATTATTAATTGTTACTTTAAATTATCAACTTTGATACTTAGTGTTTCTTGTTTCCTCTAAGGAAGCATTATATTAACAACAAATTGGCATATACATGTAGATAACATAACTACTAAAATAGTTAAGAGTCATCGACGTGTCAAGTTACTGGATAGACTCGGTTAGAAATGTCCACGGGGGCAAACGGGATGGAGATTGCATGCTCCGCCCCCGCCCCCGTGTAATCCGGGGTCCACAGGACTTTCTAACATCCCTAGCTCGGACTTATAGAAGTGGTAAACTGAAAATGGGAAAACTGACCCAACCATGATTTCTTGCAGAATGTTGATGGGGGATGGGGTCTACACATAGAAGGGCATAGCACTATGTTTTCTACAGTCTTGAACTATGTGAGCCTAAGATTGCTTGGAGAAAACATGGATGGTGGTGAAAATGGAGCCATGACTAAAGCAAGAATCTGGATTCTTGATCATGGTAGTGCCACACACATACCCTCATGGGGCAAATTGTGGCTCTCTGTAAGGCTTAACCCTATCTACCTTCTCATTCCTAAATACCAATAGTTTACTTTTGTACAAATATACATATAATTGTTTTTGACTTTTTGTATTGATGTTCTTGACTCATTGTGGGTTTGAGACTCTTTGTCATATTTTCATGCTATGATCAGTACTCAACTTAACTATATGCATACGTTAGGTGCTTGGAGTATATGAATGGAGGGGTAATAATCCTTTGCCACCGGAAATCTGGCTTCTCCCTTACTTTCTTCCTTTACACCCAGGTTCTTCTAATTTTGATTCTTTTTTATCATCTCATGCTTAGTTATGAGTGGTTATTAGTGTAGCATTTTTTCAATTTGATGATATAGGAAGAATGTGGTGCCACACAAGGATGGTATATCTGCCAATGTCATATTTATATGGTAAACGATTTGTGGGGCCAATCAGTTCGATTGTTTTATCATTAAGAAGAGAATTGTACAAGACACTTTATTATCAAGTTAATTGGGACTTATCTAGAAATCAATGTGCCAAGGTAATTTAGTTTTGCTTTGTCAAACATAGTTCGGATTTATGGATGTTGTCACAAAGTAGAGATTTACTGGTTATCGGTTTTGCTGTTTCAGGAAGATTTGTATTACCCTCATCCCATAATACAAGACCTTTTATGGGGTGGTTTGAACAAGATTGTTGAACCTCTTCTGATGCAATGGCCCTTCGCAAAGCTCAGAAAAAAAGCATTAAACACTGTGATGCAACATATCCATCATGAGGATGAGAACACGCATTATATTTGCATTGGACCTGTTAATAAGGTACACATACCTCAATGATCTTTATCCTGTTATACATGAAATCTTCATGCATAAACATGGACCGAGTATATAAACATCCTATAAAAATGTTCTGAAACATTGTGATTGGTTTTCATGGAAAGTACACTTGATTTTGTCCAATTAGCATTCGACCACCTAGCTATGTTATAATGTTAATTACCTAGCCTAAATTCCATAAAAACAGTACAAAATATCTTGAAAAGTTGTTGGAAGATAGTTATAGAACATTCATAGAAACATCTACAGAGGAATTATATATTAGAAGCATATAGAGATAAAGGTTATCAGAAAATTTCACGTACATATCTAGAGAAGAAGACCGTAGATTATGTTAGTGTATTCCAATAATTCAGAAGCTTGCACCACTATGGGAATGTACTTACAATTTTGTATCCATAATAACAAAATATCTATATTTTCATTCATAAGAGAATGCAACGTACTTTATTTTTATCTATATTAGCAATGTACCTTACTTTTTTTCCATAATAGCAACAATTTTACCAAGATAAACAATACATTTATATTTTATCTGTAATAGCAACATACTTTCTTTCTTTTTCTCCATAGCAATACAATGCATTTATTAAATAAGTAAACATCATACTATGCCACACTCGTTAAGTGATGTCCTCATCACCACTATGTGGTGATCTGAGGATTGTATCCTAAAATTCGTCCTTTCTTTCTTCCACCTTGAGACTACTCCTATAATTTAGCATCACCCAATGGATGTTGAGTATAGCCATCACCACATTTTAAAATTGATAAATATGATATAAGGATAATGACAGATAAACAACTTGATGTTATCTCAATAGAGATTCTTTTACATTTGTCTTTTGTGATAATGTCAACACCATTTATCTTCCAACCAACCTTGTCCAACACTAGAAAACTAAGTACGTTGCTTGATACCTTCACTGAAGGGCTTCCTACATCTCTCTTTCACAAGTTTTGGTCCAATTTGAACGTTCTGACCATTCATCCCGATAAAACGTGATGTTCGTGTTGGAACACAAAAACAATCAATATAATATGGAAAATATGTTGCGGAATGATGAATAACTTTTCAATACTACTTTTACTTCAACAAGCTCCAATATTCATAGAAGAATATGAGTAGGGAACAGAGGATTTTAACGCAAGTAATAACGTTTTTGTGCACACACATTAATGCTAAGGTCACACCCCTATATATATTTACATGGGAAGATAGATACGACAAATAAACCTATTATGAGATGACACGTGGAGCATAGTAAGTGACCAAATTTTAACAAAAAAAGATTCCTGGAGATTACAGCATGATATATGCGTGTTCATGCTACAACGTGTAAGTTTACTAAGGAGAAACATATGCGAGGTTCAATTACTTCGTAACTAAAGATTACAAGAATATACGAAACTTAACTATACACGAAAGTAAAATACAAAACCTCTCACAGAATAACGAAACTCGCAAATACAGATTCTCTGCAAAGACAGACACAACAATTTGGTCTTCAACAGTTAGTGTATGTATATTGTGATTTACAGACACAAAAAACATTTAGATTACCCATGTACTTATGTATATGTGTTTGATTAATGAGGATATCATTTTCCATGGGAAAATCATTTATTAAATTATGACTAGTCTTTTGATGGTGTAGAAGCTTTCTGTAGAAATCTAGAGAAAAATATCATTTGAAATACAATAACTAAATCTATAATTGCATTGGCAAATTCATCTGTGTTAATTTTCTTGATGTTTATTTGAATTAATTTGAACCCAGTAAATAACTCATATATATAAAACGAGAAAATAGGTGCTCAACATGTTATGCTGTTGGGTGGAGGATCCAAAGTCACCTGTAAATAAACAGCACCTCTGTAGGATCAAAGACTACCTTTGGATAGCTGAAGATGGAATGAAGATGCAGGTTATTTTTGAGTCACTCCATTTTTTTTATCAACTTCAAAGACCATCTTTGTATACCCTTAAACTTATGAGATCTCAGGGATACAACGGATCACAATTGTGGGATGCTGTTTTTGCGGCTCAAGCAATATTAGCAACCAATCTCGTAGATGAATATGGCTCCATGCTTCAGAAAGCACATGACTTCATTAAAAACTCACAAGTATATCAACCTTAATTACCTCACTAAAATTTTTATCTTAAACTTGAACACAGATATATAGGTGGTGATCATTATATTGTTGTTTATGTGAAGGTTAGAAAAAATAGTTCGGGTAATATTCAGTCATGGTATCGTCACATATCACTGGGTGGATGGCCATTTTCTACTCCAGATAATGGTTGGCCTGTATCAGATTGCACTGCTGAAGCTTTAAAGGTATATATATGTTGCTTGATTTTGGCGTATTCAAACCTTCTAGTACTATCACAACATGGATTTCCCCATGTTTTTGTTGTTTTCTAGAAGTAGAGTTAAATCCCAACAATAGAATGCAACTTTCAATAATGTATCTAATGAATAGGAAACAAACTTTTATATATATGTTCGGATGAAGGGCTTAATGTATTAAGTCCATTAAGTAAATAGGAAACAAACACTATAACTTTCATTATATTATTGCATCTGGGTGATGGTGATGAAAGTAATGAAATTGACGATGATGATTAATGGCAGGCGGTGGTGATGCTATCACAAATGCCATATGACATAGTTGGAGAAGCAATAGCACCAGAATGTTTATATGATGCTGTTCATTTGCTACTAACTCTTCAGGTAATTTATGTAGGAAAGCCAATAAATTTGTGAGGGAACGAAATTATAAATTAACTCCAATTTTTCTTCCATGGATATGTTGTTTTTTAATCGTATAGTTGTATACCAAAATATTTATAAGCATATTCTTGTTAACTATACGTCTATATGACTATACCGAAATTGGAGGTAGCGAGCACCTGTTTGTCCCACCCTACATCTATGACTTGAATTTCAAAACTACCTGTCATCAAAGAAAGGAAAATGAATTATAAGCCTAACAAAGTTTCCAAACCGTTCAAAAAACCCCAATTATGTTTTTTCTGTTCAGGAAAACTCAACGAACTTAACATTTTGTCTAAAAAACCCAACTAACTTGCACTTCTCATTTAGGGTCAACCGGCTAATGAAAGTCAACAAATGACATGGCTTATGACGGGTAATTAAATATCGAAAAATGACTTATAAGACCAGCGAAGTTTCAAAACCGTTCAAAAAACCTCAATCATGTTTTATTTGTTGAAAAAACCCAACGAACTTACGATTTTGTTCAATTCTCATTAGATGCAACCAGATTCATCAGATATACAACTAGTTGGCAAATGACAGGGCATTATATTTAATGACATGGAATAAACAGATTAAAACTGCCCTTTATATATCGATTTAGAGCTTGGAGAAGAGCAAAACGAACGATGTTTGTGTTTGATCTCTTGTAATAGCTACTTCTTCTTCTTCTCAATTGTTGATGTCCAACTCAAGATCTACAAAGAAGATATTTGATGAATCAAAACTCTTGTGGATGTAGACACCCTTCTCGGATTTGGACATCTAGAATGGAGGATCAACCAGAGATAATGTTTATTGCTTGTTCGAACAGATGAGTAAGTGTAATTGAAATCTTTATCATGTCCATTTTAATAAGTTTTTTTGTTTTTGAAAGAAACTAAACAAATAGATAGAATATGGACATGATAAAGCTTTCAATTACACTTACACATTTGTTCGAACAAGCCCTGAACTTTGTTCCAACAAGCCCTGAACTTTTTTCTTTGGATGATCCTCCGTTCTAAATGTCCAAATCCAAGAAGGGCATCCACATCCGCAAGGGTTTTCATCATCAAATATCTTATCTGTAGATCTTTAGTTGGACATCAACGATTGAGAGGAAGAATAAGAAGTAGCTATTACAAGAGATCGAACACAGACGCCGTTCATTTTTCTTTTCTCCAAGCCCTAAATTGATATATAAAGGGCAATTCTAATCTGTTTATTCCATGTCATTAAATATAATGTCATGTCATTTTCCAACTAGTTGTATACCTTATGAATCTGGTTGCCTTTAATGAGAATTGAACAAAAGCGTAAGTTTGTTGGGTTTTTTTCAACAAACAAAACATGATTGAGTTTTTTTGAATGGTTTTGAAACTTTGTTGGTCTTACAAGTCATTTTCCGATTTTAATTACTCAGCATAAGACATGTCATTCGTTGACTTTCATTAGCCGGTTGACCCTAAACGAGAAGTGAACGAAAGTGTAAGTTAGTTGGGCTTTTTTAGACAAAATGTTAAGTTCGTTGGGTTTTCTTGAACAGACAAAACATAATTGGGTTTTTTGAACGGTTTGAAAACTTTGTTGGGCTTATAAGTCATTTTCCCCATCAAAGAATTATAAATTATTTTGATTTATTCTAAGTTTTAGGATAATACACCTTTTTCAACAATTGAGAGGGAACCATTATTCACAGTAAAATCAAAACTACTACACTTATCAATATATGTCTTTTCAATCAATGATCTTCCTGTTCCAGAATGGAAATGGTGGATTTTCCTCGTATGAGCTCAAGAGGTCCTATGCATGGTTAGAGGTTAGTATATGTAAAAATCACAAATCTTTTTGGGTGTATAAATCTTCGAATATTGAAGACTGATCATATATGTATACCATAGGTGATTAATCCAGCTGAAACATTTGGAGACATCATGATTGATTACCAGTAATCCCACCTGCCTGCTACACTTTACCTTATAAATCTTGGATGTTCTCTGTATTCAATGTTCCTTATCTGAAAGATATTTGTAATTTAGGTATGTGGAGTGTACATCCGCTGTGGTGCAAGGCCTACGATCCTTTACAAAACTCTATCCATGTCACCGTAAGGATCAAATAGAAGTGTGCATTAACAAAGCCATAACATTCATTAAGAGCTCGCAACTGCCCGATGGCTCATGGTTCTCACTCTCTCTTTCTCTCTCTCTCTCTCTATCTCTCTCTTTCTCTCTCTCTAATGGGGTTGAATAAGATATAGGTATGGATCATGGGCAATTTGCTACACTTATGGAACATGGTTTGGTATAAAAGGATTGGTTGCAGGTGGTAAGACATACGAAACTAGTCATAGCATTAGAAAGGCTTGTGCTTTCTTACTCTCCAAGCAACTTCATTCTGGGGGTTGGGGAGAAAGCTACACGTCTTGCCAACAAAAGACATACACAAATCTCGTTGGGAACAAATCCCACATCACAAACACTTCATGGGCTTTGCTAGCTCTCTTAGAAGCCAAACAAGTAGGTTATTACGCATCATAAATGTGGAAAATAGCAATGTACTATCATTTATTTGTTTATTATAGCATGTTACTTACATTTCTTTCTATTACAACATTATATTTTCAAAGTTTTTCTTAGTAAGATATTCTACTTTGAGAAATCTATCAAGTTAAAAGCATTGTACTTCAAAAAAAAACTATTAGGACAGTATACTTTGAAAATCTTGTAAATAATAAGTAAAATTTGTTTTGTATTTGGATGGTATTGTCATAATCGGGTAGATGATTTAAATTACAATGCTGAAATAGGAAAAAAAAAATGAAACTAGAGTGTTATAACAAACATATAATTGAAAGTATATTGCTATTTCTTGCATTTAACTCTACATTATCCATATGGTGATTAGGAAAAAAGAAATCAAAACCCACTCCATCGTGCTGCAAAAGTACTCATTGATCACCAAATGGACAATGGAGATTTTCTACAGCAGGTAATTAATTTCATACGCATGTCATAACCAAATTCAATGATTGGAGTTCTTGTTTATTGTATTTTAATATAATTTTTTTATTTTTCAGGAAATTATAGGGGTGTTTAACAAAAATTGTATGATAAGTTACTCATCTTATAGGAACTTATTTCCAATTTGGGCTCTTGGAGAATACCTCAATAATGTAATTAGGAAGAAATCTCCAGCTTGATATGTATTATAAACATTTCAATTTTCTATCTTCGTGTATGTTGTATAAATTACTATCTTTTTACATGTAATGTTTATAGCTTGAAGCTCGTGTTCACTTGCTAAATTACATATATATATATATATATATATATATATATATATAATATATATATATATATATATATATATATATATATATATATATATATATATATATATATATATATATATATATATATTATTGCTATGAGTTTAGTGATTCCAAGAATAAGAACCTAACGACTGCAAGAGTTTGCATAAAACTATTATTATGAGGAGTATATGATGTTCGGAACTTATATATTGATATGGACATGGCTATGTAAATCGTACCTTTTTTTTACAAAGAATCAGTACCAGAATGGTACCTAATTCTTTTGCCTAAAACACAATAATTTTTTATAGGGAACATGCATGTAAGGTTGGTAAAAAAAAATTACAAGTCCAGGTCAATCCCTAGATATAGTAGCTTTCATGATTTTGGGGATGATTCGATGATTAAGCAATTTTCCAAAAGGCATATGATATCAAGATTCATATTGTGCTAAATCCATTGAGATTGGTAAATATATCTTGTGGTGATAAGGTTGATATGTTGGTATGTAGGATTGGAATTTAGGAAGGGGCTTGTATAGGAATGAATTTAGGAATCATGCAGCACCTTATGTTTTGAATCTCAATCAATGTAAGGGTATCCATTCTTACTTATGAACTTCATTTACCTATAAATTGATCAACTACAAAGGATTCCATTAGCTTCATCATATTGTCGCCAAATCCATTTCAATCTAAGATTATACATGCTTATACCATCATGGATGTGTTTGAGTATTCCAATTGGATTCATTGTCACTAAACATCATCTATGTCATTTAATCCATTCCAATTTAACATATAAGCATGAAATCCCCAAATCCATTTCAATCTAAGCATATTTCATTTATTTACTTTATTAATTTAAGAATCTAGTCTTAACTTTTAGGATGTTACAAGACCGGTCCGAGATTGGTCTAAAAAAACTGGTAGCCAAAGTTTAGACACATATTTTTGTGTTAACTACATAAGTTTTAATCAAATATTATATAACTTGTTTTTTTTCTTTTATTAAACTAAAGTGTTTCATTTTTATTAAATCTTAATTTATCATTTTGGTTTTAATCACATATTTGTTAATAGAAAAACTCGAAATCGAAACCAAAAAACCAAAAAATATCAAACCTAAACCGAAGAAGGGGTATGGAAAGATCGTGAGACCAGACAGAAAAAGACCAAGACCTATACCAACAAAGACTAGATAGACAAAGATCAAACTGAAAAAGGATTTGACCATTATAAGACCGATTCCAAAAAGAACGGACCGTTTTGAAACCAACCTGAGACCGGTCTGGGACTGCCAATGTGCATATGCAGGACTAGAATGATCACTTAGCTATTGTTTATTTTTCTAAAACCTTCTTTTGGTCCTTTTTTTCTCCTCGCGACCCTAAGTAAAGGATTTTGGTAATGGTTCTTAGCCACCAAGGCTTACCGAAACCCTAGTAAGCGTGGTCCTTAGCCATCAAGATTTACCATGACAAAAATTATTCATAATGATCATCGTGCTTAGCCACCAAGGCTTACCATGATCCATCATTCCCCATCCTATTAGTGTCTTTCAAACAATCTAGCAATAACAACATAATTAGGTATCAAATGTTGAAGAGTGAACATGGTTACTTATCTTAGGATTTCAAACGAAGAGGGGCTCCCCATTCTTGTAATTCTTCACCATTTTTTCTTCCCAAATCAGTTAGAACATGATAGTATGTTTGAGCATTAAAATTTAGTAGTACAACTATCCTTCCAATACTTATTTAACTTTATTTTATATATATATATATATATATATATATATATATATATATATATATATATATATATATATATATATATTCAACGAAGTTCATTTCAATATACGAAATGCATTCATTAATCATTTGTGGGAAAAATATTCCAATGCATTAATGTGTACTGTTTTTTAAATTTGTGTTATATTTTTTTAAAAATATAAATATAATTTTTTTTATAAACAAGTGTGTATATTTATTTTAATGTGTTACAAATAAAATTATTTTTTTAATAAAATATATATTTATTTTATTAATATCATAATTAATTTAAATTATTTTTAAGAACTTTTTGTTAAACTTATTTAATAATATAAATTTTAAAATTATTAAAACAAAAAGATTTTTGACAAAGTTGTAAAACATATTAAAATAAAGTGGTATTAATGAAAATGAAAAAAAAAAAAAAAAAAAAAAAAGTTAGGCGAAAAAATAAAACTACAATTAGAATATGAGAAATTAAGTAAACTAACCACTTTTGGTGTATTTAAAAAAATAATAAATAAATAAAAACATTTAAATAAAATTAGCAAAATAACCCTTTTCTTTAGAATGGGTTGTTCTGGAACCAGTTCGGACTCTTTTGACTGTTAGGTTGGAACCAATTCGGACTTTTTTTATTGTTTTGCAAAATAACCCTTTTCTCGGTATTCCTCTAGAATGGGGTCTCTCGAAGTATCCGTACGTATTCTGGACCCGTGTTCAGTAAATGATAACATTTTCGTGTATCCGACCCGGTTTGTAGTCCCCATATAAATACGTTTCGGAATTACTTTATTTGACTTTACTTGTTCTGGAGACTATTTTGAACCTATATTCCGGAGACGATTCGAACCCAGTAACTCAAAAATGTCCTCTGAGAGCGTTCCAGATATTCACTTTTTATATGTATGTTTATAATTATATGTCTTTACTACGGATTGTATGTTAACATTGATATAATTTATGCAATTATATAGGTCTTATAATTTACTGCAGTATATATGTCTTATATGTTTTTCTATGATGTTTAGTGGTTTAAAAACAATTATAAGATTACATTTACTTATATATGTATTCCACATAAAAAAAACTTACATATATACTGATTCTAACTAGTCTGGAATGAATCCGAAATCCGTAAAATACATCCGGATTTCAGAATACGAAGAAGAGTTCCGGAATATGGATACGGATTGTTATTTTTCGGAATTGTGATTCGGAATCCATATACATAATAGGGGTCTGAAATATAGATCCGGACTATTGTGTATTCTAGAATAGCCACCAGAACACACCAAATTGCATGATTAATGCTTCTTTTGATTGTATCATGACAGAACATACAAAGCAATTGTGACTACAACCTGCATGCCTGAACTTGGGCGGGAAACCATGGCTCGTTTACAAAACCAACCAGTTTATGCGGCCATACTTAGGAAATCATGTTTTGGTGATTATGTGAACATGTCGATAAG